AAATACTCCTAAACTTTACGTATTCCTGGGGCTTCGATAAAACTTCATTCAAGTTGCACCATCCAGACTTTCCAAGCATAGTCAATGAGTCAGGGGGATTCTATGCATTTAGAGAGTCCACCCAGAGAGGTATAGCATACCGTAGTTTAGCACTGAATAATGAAACCAAGACTGCAATTGGCCGCTATGTGTGTCGGTCGACGTTACCAACGATTGTAGAGAACATTCCATACATAGAACGGAAATATGCCTTTTGCCAGCCCACTTTGAGCTTGGCAAAAACGAAAGATATGAATAAAGAATGGATCGAAATTGAGTCAAACGGCGTCATCGATGTTGTATTGCCTGTCATTTTAAAGTGTCACACCTCGATTGAATGTGAAAGTCATATGCCTTTTAGCTTTACTAATGTGACGTACAAACAAATGAAAGGGCCGCTTATTCTGGCGGAAGAAAATGAGGACTCAAAGCAAGCAATGGTACAACGGAGTCTGATGAATATGTCCCGCAACAACGTGGAATATCTGGAGTTAAAACATAGTGGAATTTATAGCTTCTACTGCCAGAGCAATCCACCTCTAAACTGTAGCCAGAGGAAATTTAAACTTCGTGCACATCATTCAGCCAGCGGAGTTGTCTTGCTACCGAGCACAAAATTATTTTCAGGAGAAACTGTTACTTGTGACTACGCTGATCCGTCGACTACCCTTGGCCGTCATTGGCTAGAGGTTAAAATATACGGAGCCGACAACGAATATAAATTAATCAACAGACATAAAGTTTTATTCTTTTCGAGTAGACCCTCAACATATAACTTGACATGCACTGCCTCACTAAAATATCCCATTCAGTCGATTACGCTACAGGATTCATTCGAAGTATTCGTCGACATCCCGCTGCGAATTCAATATTGGCAATTGCCTCGTTGTTTACAGTTTGGTAGGCCGATTAAATGTGAAGTGCAAGGTCATAATATGGCCCGTGAACACATGAATACTGTCTGGAGCACGGACGCCAAACACGTCTCTTCCTATCAAAACCGACTGTACTTAAAGCAACTTCCGGATATTTCAAGATATCTGGAAGCTCGCCTGGCACGACAAAGGGAAACACATACGGCAACTTGTACCATTCATCTACCCCCTACTTTGGGTGGCTACCTTAAGCATACTCATCATTTCACTTTGTGTCATGAAGATTTAGTCACATTCACTCCAGATAGATTTTATCTTCAAAGGCCCAGTGAGCTCATATGCTCTGCCAATGCTGAAGAAGTGGGTCTGAGAAATCCCAGACTTAGCACCTGGGATGATAAGGGAGAATGTCTCAAGGAGCCCAGAAAGATAGCTAATTATTCAACATCAGAAAGTCCAAATACCTTCGAAACCACTGAATTGTATTCGTCTGAGCAGAAAACCTTCCGAAACTCAGCTTCGCTGAGGATTCCTATTTGGCCCAAACGGAGCTGCAAATATAGCTTTTGCTGCGAGTTGGAATTTATAAGGACAAATGAATTCAGTATTATTTGCACGAATTTTACTCTGGCAGAAAGCATTGGAAAACTGAAATTAAAACACGAAGGCCCTTTCATCAACCGTCCCATTGAGTGCAGCTACATAGATTCGACAATACTGATGCCAGGTTTAACATTGGAAATCGAGTCCGACTACTCACTAAAGCCGATTAGCAGTAATTTTGTTCTGCTTGGAAGTTCAAAAATCGAGATTTATAGACGTTTTGACAGTGTACTGGTAAGAACAGATAAATAATTTTAAATTATAAAAATTGTCTAATAGTATTCATAAAAAACAAAGGACAATTTTCCATAAACGAACTCCTAGTATTCGGCCTTAAGCAATTCTCTACCAAGTTACATTTAATTGTGATTCTTTACATTGCCATAATAGTCATAGGGCGACAAAGTTCTTGGCGATATAAGGCTTGTTATCCATCGTGGAGATCATATACTCATGGGAATTTGAGGTGGGAAAAATGAGCAAGCCATAAGTGAAATTGATAAATGGCTAATGGAGATAAGCCGGCTAAATCAGACATGTAGATCATTCAGAATTAATTGCTAGTCTAGGTACCCTTAACTTCTCCGTTGCTAAAGCTGTTGACACCACAGTTTTATGTACTCATAACGAGCAAAGTTTCACTCGATTCTTACATGAGTTTCTAAATGCATTGCGAATCCAGAATTGTAATTCCTCTGTACAATCTTGTTCACCCTCTTGTAGTGTATAATAACATGAATAATAGTCAAAATGAATGGTTAGCAATAGGCTTTTAATTGTAAACTTCTAAAAAACGCTGGCAGGACAATTCAAATCTCAGTTCGCTACCGGTCTGGAACAAAAGACAGCAACATAAAGGCAACAAGACAAACTAAAATTGCACCAGATGATCAGGCTGAAAATCAAATATTTGAAAGCGAATATCGGGAGAAAGATATAATGGGAATCTGAACATATTGGCTGTAATAAAAGCTCAACTTCGTTGGTTTAGATTTTGCATAATCACTATCCTATTCCTTGGAGTGCTCGAACAAAAGAAAGCTTTCTTTATTGGCGCCGCCTCTTTACTATTCACCTCATTCTGAAAAAGCCGAGTCACAAAAGTTTTCTTTCTGTAGCGTCGCATTTGGTAAATTAGAACTTCTGGTTGTGCAGAAACTCTGGAAAAAATGATTTCAGTAGGCATTACTCCTCTTTATAGGCAAAGAGACGATCATACGGCGCAGGGTTGCTGTTGGCGCTAGTAAGTCTGAGCAAGGTCATTCAACCTGGAACTCTTTGTTTATATATACCTTATTTATGGAGCTACTGAATTGCTTTGCACTTAAAAAATCAGCCTGTTCCCACTTGCTGGGTTCTGCATTTAATAGATGAACCTGGCTATTCATCGACAAGATAGGCAAGAGGGGACTTATTCACAAACTGGCTATAAAGAAAAGTTTTGATTGGAGTACTGAAGTGGTTATGCTATGCAATAATGAAGAACAAGATTGATACAACTGGTACGAGCACTATCAGAGATTACTTACGTAAGATATAAGTACAGAATATTTCGCCAACACCTGTGCCGGAAGACAATTCATTCCTTCTTAAGCAGGTTAAATATGTTTAATGAGCTTATATATGAAAATTGACTTTATTTCACCCATATTGGCATTGAGCATGATTCAAGGCCATCAATAGTTATTGTTTTAGTCATTTATTCGTCATTTGTCACATAAAAGGTTATGTTAAACTGTCCTGCACCACTTTAAGTGATCTTAGCATTCCCGCTTGTTGAGTTGCTACGGTAACTACTATATAATACTATTGCCGTTGGCTGGTAGAACGCACCTACTCTAGACGACCACTTTATAGAATATAAGATTTAAAACCCCATAACCAAATATCTTGTGAATTAACAGAACTATGTTCTTTGTATTGATTGTGAGGAAGACATCCATCTTGCCTAGGACTTCATAATTTTCTCTAACATACTATCTCATGTCCAGGTGATTTATGTAGAACATCTGTATCTCTGAGATGCTATTTCATAAAGCACAAAAACTAAGGTAGGATCAGGAAAAGTTCACATATTTATATCTGAATTCAGGCGTATCTTTAGCTGAAACTATAGGTTTAGGAACTTATTTTCGTATTGTAGTAGGGTTTCGAGACTACCAGTAAATCAGTAATATGAGATGTATTCACCCTATTTCGTCTAAGGTGATG